AACACTGGTAAATTAACTTAGAGATATTCCAATTGATGATAACTCAGTTTTATTGAGTGAATTAAATAAATACTGTGTATTACATGACCAAAAACATCAAGCACCAAAACAACTACTATCAGCTATTTTTTTCTTCTTCAGTTGCAGATACAATTACACTAAACTTTACTAAGACAAGTACTGTACCTGTTTTCCTGTTTTAACTACCCAGTTTGGAATGGAAACCAAGTTTACTTTACACTAAAGTACAGCACAATACTTAGACTTGCCACAAGTCTCTAATTTATGGATAAGTTTTTCGTAGTATTAGCGCATTTCGGAAAGCGCCACCAGCGTCAGTTTATGTTGAGAAACTTTTTTGATAGTATACTATGGAACGCCATGCAAATAAGTAATATGGAACGCCATTTGTGCCAAATTCGATTTATTCTTAAGCATTTCAACTGATTAAGAGAAAGATTAGGGACTGGAACCCAGTCTACACAATACTATGATAAATTTAATAAAATTATCTCAAAATTTCTCAAAAGATTTTATCAAGGATAGGAAAAGATCAAATTATACGTCTTTAAATTCTTCTTACCAATGCAAAATCATCCCTTATATTTTCTTAGCTGTCTTTTAAAATTGCTAGGTACAGTACCACAGCATTTAATTGCATAAACATTATTTTTAAATTCTTCCACATTCTTAAAAATATGATATCAAATTTCTTTTCAGATAATTTTTTCCCACAATGCTCACATTCATGTGATGTCTCTTCTGCATGTATCTTTAAATGTCTGTTCAGATGACCCAAATGATTAAACTTCTTCCCACAAAGTTCACATTCATATGGTGTTTGTCCTGTATGTATCCTTAAATGTGTTTTTAAAGTGTCATTTTTACTAAATTTTTTTCCACAATGTTCACACTCATGTGATCTTTTATGTATCCTCATACGTGCTTTCGACGTTATACCATTTTAAAATTTATTTCCACACTTGTATGGGGCGTCTTGCTTGTGTATCATCATGTGTGATTTTGAACTAATACTGTCTTTAAATTTCTTTTCACAATGTTCACATTCATGTAATGGCTGTATTCCACATTGTTCAAATTGTAATGGTGCATCTTCTGTTTTAATTCCCATGTGTGCTTTCAAATTAATTAAATTAAAATAATCTCCACAATGCTCACATTTATATTTTACCTCTTCACACGTTTGTATGTTTTTCTCTGAACTGCCAGACATTTAAAATTGTTTTTCAACTTCATTGCATTCATTCATATTTTTCCAGGACTCATGGATAATATTAACAGGAAACAAATTTAGATGACAATTTTCAATAACAGAATATTCTGTTTTAACTGAAATTAAACATGTTTCATAAGGTCTGCCTTTACTTTCTTCATTGCTGGAAAAATCACTGCAAATGTCTAAAATATAAAAAGATATAGAAAAAAATCAGAGCAATCTGCTAACGCTCAATATTATATAAGTTTAAAAGTAAATGATAAGATTACTGTGCTGTATTAGTTATTGAAGAAACTTTTTTGTAATGGGAGGCCATGTTAAAATATATATAAATATATAGAAAGTGCATAGTTTTCTTGATTTAAAATTTAAAATTGAATCCGTACTCGCGCGAATAAGCGCCCGGGCATTTAAAATATTTTTTGCACTTTCTGAGGGGTGCCTATTTAAACCGGGCACTTATTTAAACGGGTGCTTATGAAACAGAGTGGAAATTGATATAGAAAAGATATATAAAAAAAGATATAGAAAAAAATCAGAGCAATCTGCTAACGCTCAATAGTATATAAGTAAAGTAAATGATAAGATTACTGTGCTGTATTAGTTATTGAAGAAACTTTTTTTGTATGGGAGGCCATGTTAACCTGCTCGTTTTTGACCCTGGTAAAACTGTTCCAGTCAAATTAATAACAGCAAATAGATATCAATTCATGTCATACGCAAGAAGAAGAAAGACTTGCAGTACAGAATAAACTGAATTACAAAAAAGTATAATAAATTTTTTTTTAAAGATGTAGGGCCAAAAATCAATGGGATGGTAAATTATAAAGTATTTCTCTACTTTGAAAAATCAATAACTAGAAAAGAAAATTAAATATTAAATTTTCTAACTTTGTCTATTAAGTAAGTTACTATCTAACTTTCTGTTGAAAATTAGTATTAGAATTTCTACATTTATTGTGCTGATGTTGCTAAATCTGAGAGTTTCTCCTTTTTTTATGCGGGTCATTAGGGCCTTTGTGGAGTAATACCCTTACAGGGGCGGATTTGGGGGCGCCAGCCCAGCCCCTCTCCTTTTGGGAGGTTAAAAAAGAGGGGAAAAAAAAGAAAAAGAAAAAAATGATAGCCCAGAATGCCTCAAATGTTATTCTAGAACACAAAAATTTCAGGAGCATTCCCCGGAACCCCTGGAGCAGTGTTGTCTCGATCGGCCCAAATTTCGGCCCCTACTTTTGGCCCTCCCTCTTGTGGACATCTCTGGATCCGCCCCTGCCTTACACCGTCATGCATAGTTTTCTTGGTTCAGGTAATATGACGATCATTAGAGCCTTAGTAATTACCAACACTACAGGCTGTGATGCATAGTTTGATTAGGATTGGGGTATGCAGGTCATATCTACTTTAGTAGAGCAACATCCCTGTGAGGCACAGCTACCGTTTTATTGCTTTTTTGTGTGTGTTTCACTGTGTTTGTGTGAATATTGGCCCTATATGGTACCTGTACTAACAGAAATTAAATTTAAAATTGAATCCGTACTCGCGCGAATAAGCGCCCGGGCATTTAAAATGTTTTTTGCACTTTCTGAGGGGCGCCTATTCAAACTGGGCGCTTATTTAAACGGGCGCTTATGAAACAGAGTGGAAATTGAAGGGGCGCTTATGGAAATAGATGAAGAGTTCTTATGGGAACTTATTAAATTCAAGAGGCACTTTTTGGATTAAAAAGGATTATATTAGGACATTACGAATGGTGGTTAGGCGGAAAAGAAAGTCGTCCAGAGAACATGGCTCATGACAAGAATGCTGTGAATATTTACATATAACAGCAAAATAGCAGATGCAATTAGTGGTGGTAGGTAGTGGTTAGCTTGTTGGCCATTGGATGACAAATTACTATGTAAGAGGAAAGTTGGAAATATACTGTCTGTGTAGGGATTGGAGCTCTCATCTGCCAGAGAGAAATCTTCATTTTGATATTGACCTAAGAAGAATGTGATTCCACTCTACAGCTCAAATCATGCCAAAACCACAGTCCCAGAATTGATTGAATTATTGACTTGCTAAAAAGAAAATCTTATGATATTATTTGAGGAGGCGCTTATTCAAATTAGAAGGGGCGCTTATTCCAACGGGGCACTTCAGGAAATTTTCATGTTAGTAGGGGCGAGTATTCGAGAGGGGCACTTATTCAAATGGGGTGCTTATTTGCGCGAGTACGGTACATTGAATAAGACAAAACACACTAAGACTAAAATTTATAAATGTTCATAAATTCATTATTTTCTAAAATCTTTCAAATTATATTTATGCTTATGGTGATTAAATCCATAATGTACAGAACTCAGCATGTAAGGTACTGTAGTTGGATATATGTACAGCAATTAATACTGAAGCCATTCTTCAATAAAAAATAAAATTTTGAATGGTTTATTAATTTTTTTAATTGAAATAAAATAAATATTAAATAAAACAAAAAATGTATTATGTTCTCATTCAATCCATATTAATAAGGAACAATGTTATAAATTACAAACCTATTTCAAATTCAATTTCAGAATTCTTTTCCATATTCAGTTGCACTATTTTTTCAAATTCTGCTGCCATAGCCTGCTAATTCTTTCAAAGACAATTGATGATATATCTGGATATTTTCAGACCTGCAATAAAAAAATAATTTAATGTGCATTAGGATCAAAACAAGCAAAACAGAGTTCTGTAAACTTCTAGACCTTCACATTTTTTTTGCGTATCACTACTCTCTGTAAGTTTGCTAGGCCTCTTCATCACATCATTTATAATAGTATGGAATTTTATCTGAAAAACATTAAACATTTCCCCATGCTAATTGCCTGCTATGTATATTAAAATGATGCTTCACAATGCCAATGGGATGGCTGGGACTTGCACAACAGCAACAGATGAAGTGGATAAAATTTAATGAGAAAAGATGAGATAAAAAAAAATCACATTTCATTTTTACTGTAATGTAAATACTTAAAATAACTAACCAAAAAATATAAAATCTAAAGATTAAAACGTCTTACAACAAAAAGATTATACCAGAGTAGGACTACTTAAGAAATACTGACTACGATGTAGAATCCATTTTTGGTGTGAAAAAAAACAAAAACATTAACATTACACAATTTGATAAGCAACAATACATTTATACTATTGTTGTGAATTTTTTAATTGTGAGCGTTTCTCCCAAGCATTCATGATGTATTTTTACAGAAATTATCAAAAATAGAGATATCACAAATATTAGAAGACTGAATAATTTAAATAATTTAATTTTAATATCATCATTTGTTGTTGAAAAAAGTGTCCTTGTATCATAATCGTTACAGAGTAGGTCATTTTCAAGATTTGATCAGTACTGTGCACTGTAAGTAATAAAGGGTTTTTAATTGCATGGATGAGGATCCATTTATTGAATTATTATTTTATTGTTATTATTTGTTTCAGGGAACAGTGAAATTACCTTTAAATTTTGATTTTTATAATTATTCTTATACTACTTAATTCTTTTAATTTTTTTCATTAATTATCAATGGTCTTTATACACATTTTCATTCTGCCTTTTATATAATTTTAATTGTTTAGTCTTTATACATATGTAAATTTAACCAAATCAAATGTTTAAATTGTTGGTTGATTGATCATTGATTTTTGTTTGTCATTTTTTACACATTTGTAAACATAAATAGAATTGTTTTTATGTCCAAGTGCCCCCATCGGGGGCCACAGACACTATGTCATGATGTAGCAATTAAAGATGGCAGAAAAGGGCAAATCCGGTGGAGGAATGATGGGTACTACTACCACCAGGTGGGGGCGCTCTACTGAAAATCGAATAGCGTTTGGAATTCAAACTTAATTGCGTTCAAATTTGAATATGCGTTACAGAAACGCAGCACGCGTTCGTCATGAACGCCTTTAACCATCATTTAAAGGACGCCTTCTAGAATATGGTAGTACTTTTCGAGATCAATGACATAACGCGGTGATTCCAAGAGTTAATCTTTTTTAGTGTTTTTAGTGCAATATCATACAGTGGGCCTAGTAGTATACAGAATATTGTTATGAAAGACAATTTTCACCAAAAAAATTCAGATACACTACAATGACAAACACATCTGCATATTGAAGAACGTAAGATTAAATTAAAAAATAAAAAACTCCTGTAGAAGGCAGTAGACACATGCTCCCTCTGGGAGCCTATTTTTTTAACTGCAACCTGAATATAAGTTTGACTTGGATTGATATCAGCTAGAACAATGAATACGCTACAGTATCTTAACTTTACAGCAGTTCTAAGTCACTGCATGACTGATTTCATCATGTCATGCTTGATTGCACTCACAAAGAAACCAGCCTATAAGGTCACATGACTAACCTGGAAAAACCCATTTCTATTTTTGCAGACACTTCATGCACACCCAAAACTTAACAGAGAATTTTAAGGTAAATATTATATTAATTTATGTTGTTCAGTGCAATAGATCCAATCAATATCTTAATGGTTCAAACAAATTAAAATACTGAACCAAATTTTCATGTTATCTGAGATGAAAAAAATGTTGATAGAGGTATACAGGCCTACTAGATATTAAACAACGTGTAAGACATTAATACTAAATCAGGCCTGTACACAGGTTTTTATTGGGTAGGTGCAAATTTGTACTGTTTCTGTCTCTTATACACATCTAGATGTGTATAAGAGACAGGCTCCATTGAGCCCAGATATTTTTGATATTTTGAGGTCTTAATACATTTTGAAGATATAATATAAACAGTGTTAAACGTTTTTGTCAGTGGCAGTCCAGGAAATGGGGGGAGGGGGCAGGGACACAACTTCATAGATGGAGGTCGATACACAGTATCATAGTCCCACATTTTCATAAATTTTGTATTGAACAGTCATTTAATTTCTGTGACATAATTATCCAGAGATAGTTTCTGTTTCTGAGATTTAAAAATTCCCTAATTTCCATTCTTCTTCATCAACATGCTTTCTCATTCCAAAATATTTGACTTTCCAAAGTTAAAATTCAAATTACATTTGTGTAGGTTTACCTTAAATAATTAGGGTTCCCTCCCTGTATTATGTTTCGTGAAACCCTCAAAAACAGTCGCCAATCAATTGTATTGCGTGGGTCTATAAACTTGGCATATTTATTGCCAAAGCAAACTATAATTTACTAAAATTATTAAATATAAATACTTTTTCAAAATGTAAAAATAAAAGCAATAATCCTACATCTATATAACCATAATATGCATATATAAGTTATTATAAAACAATGAATGTTGTTATCAAAATGGAAAACAAGAGAAAATATGCATATACTTAATTGGCTATCAATTGCTATAAATACTTTTACATTTCGAAATTTATTAATTATTATAACTGTTTAAAGTTTCTACCTAAAAATCAATTACCTTTGTTTACCTACCATTTAAAATAAAACATGTTGTACAGACTTCCCTCAGAATACAGACTAATTCTTATGGCTAAATATTTTCAATTAAAACTGTTTCCCTGCTAGTGATTAGCGAAACTTCAATTTTGCTAATCACATTAATAACGCCAATATTAATGGATTTATTTCCAGCAGCCCTGAGATCATGTTCTAATGACCTATAAATGATGTCTGAAAAGAATGTTTACTAAAATCGCAAAATGGCCAATGGTCAATGGTTGTAAATTTGTATAAGCTTCCTATTATGACTACAATAGGCATTATAATAAGCTTTTATGATTTGTTACATGAAATAAAGTATTTCACAAGTCTTGCAAACGCCATTACATTACATAAACCATGTCAAATTATTTTGGTAGACATAACTTTGTTAGCATTTTCAGTTGCCTTGAATCGCTAGAATATAGAGCACGTGTGCAACTGAGAGCAACTGGGTATTTTCAGTTGCTTTCAATCGCAGAAGCACTTATGTAGCCTTCAGTCGCACAAATCTCAGTGCTCTCAGTTGGTCACAGTTGCTTGCCAGTTGCAAAAGTTCAATTGATGTCAGTTGAGTTGAGTCGTAGGGGCAACATAAGCCCGGCTTAAGGCCTATACCCATGTTCTCTCCAACTAAGGGAGAAAATTCTGGTTCATTGTTCAAAAAGGGTGTCGATAATTAAAGTTTTTTTTAGATTTTTGTAGTAGTTGTGGTACAATGAAAAAAATGTATGTGTCCTCTTAATAAGGGTTACAATGAAAAGAATTTAAGTATCCTGTTAATAGGGGTTATTTGACCATTTGGCACATTATAAGGTATATAAGTATACATTAATATTATTATTATATATCTATCCTAAACAATAATTGTCAAAAATATTTTTTAATTCACAGGATTTCAATTCAAGATGGCTACCAGTAAGTTGGATCAATTTCTGGAAAATGTTGATGAGAAGGTCTTGGAGTGTACCATCTGCTTTAAGAGACTTCAAAATCCAAAATCCCTCAACTGCCTCCATAGTTTCTGTTTGGCATGCCTGGAAGACTGGGTTAAGACTAAGGGTCAGCTGACTTGCCCAACTTGCTCAAAATTATATCCAATTCCGGAGGGTGGGCTTCAGAAGCTTCCACCAAATACCTTTCTAAATAATTTATTAGAAACTCTCGAACAATTTTCAGAGAAAGATCAGATGAAATGTAGTGTTTGTGAAAAGGATGAACAGGTAAAATACTACTGCCAGGATTGCAGACAGTACATGTGCTCTACTTGTAGTGACTATCATAAGAAGTTTAAACTCTTTGCAAATCACAAGGTACATTTAATGGAGGATGTGCAATCAATGAGCCCCTCTCAGATGACTTTGTTACATCCGCCTCAGTGTTCACATCACAGTAAACCTTTGGAGTTCTACTGCACAGATTGTAAAACTCCAATCTGTGTGAACTGTACAATTATGGACCACAAGGAATGGGAAGGAAAACACAAACCAATCAATATTTCAGACGCATTCCAAACATTTAAAAAAACTTCAGCCACCTTGGAAAATTCTGCCCAACACTTCATAAACAAATTAGAAGGCGGTCTCAAAGCTGTTATCCACAATGCTACAAAATTACAACAAAATAAAGACACATGTTTAATAGATATAGACAATCATGTAGAAGAAATATTCAAAAAAGTAAAAGAGAATAGAGACAAAATGAAAAATGAAGTAGAGACAATCTACAAAAGGAAAAAGAAGGTAAATGATGTACAAATGGATGAATTTAAAGCAATATTATCCGATATAAAAACAAAACTGTCGTTTCTTAATCAATTATTGAAGAGTGATGAAGGGACTGCAATGCAGTCAAGTGAAACAGTAGTTACAGCACTCAGGGACAGAATCAATAAATTACCAAAAACAGAGCCAGATGATAATGGAGAAATTTACTACTTCATAAACAAACAGCAAATGACTTCATTGAGACAATGTGCTATAGGGACTGTAAAAGATTTGAGGGCAGCAGACTGTTTAACATTAAAAGGAGAGGAATCTGTGAGCAAAGATCAGACAATTATTGTCAAAATAATCAAAACAGATGAACATGAAATATATGCAAATCAACTGAAGGCAACATGGACACATCCTGCAGGGGACACCAAAATCTCTCAAATTCAGGAAGATGACAATGGAGATTATTTTGTGACAGGAAAATTCACAAGTCCAGGAGTTTGTAAACTAGATGTGAGTGCTGATGATGAACCAATTAACCAATCACCAATGACAATCAAAGTAGAAGAGGGAAGATTAGTAAATACTATTAAAATAAATGCAACAGATATTAGAGATGTAGTTAAGTGTGAAGATGACTCCTTACTGGTTTCATGTGAGACAAATGAAATGCTCAAGTACAAGCAATCAGGAGAATATATTGGTAAGGTTACACTACCACAAGGTGTGCTAGTTAACAGAATGTACAAAATGAAGAATGGTAACATAGCATTCAGTGATTACAATGATTATACACCTATCAGAATATGCAATATGAATGGTCAGCTGATTAAAACAATTAGTGAGGGAGTACAGAATACACCATGGAGCATTCATGTGGATGAGACATCAAATGTTTTGTATGCAGGAGGTTGGCCCAGTAACTGTGTGTACATGTTTGACATGAATAATGGCAAGACCATCAAAACAATAGGGTCAAGAGGTACAAAAGAAGGTCAAATGAGAGATGTCAATGATGTTACTCTTACTAACCAAGGACACCTTCTTGTATTGGACAGTGGCAACAGTAGATTACAATTATTTAATAATGAGGGAAGGTTCATAAAAGTCCTTGTTGAAGCAGGTGATGAGGATGGTAAGGTAAAATCTCCAAGTGCAGTAGTAGTTGATGAGGATGACAACATCATTATATCAAGTCAACACAAACTACAGCTATTCAGTAGTGATGGAAATTTCATAAAAAGAATTGATAAACCAGAAAATGGAATCAACGATCCAGAGGGATTATCCATCATTTCATATCATCCAAGGAGACTTGCAGTAGCAAATTATGGTGACAATACAGTAAAAATATTCAATTATTAAATACTGACAGTCCACTTGCTTCACTTGTGTGTTTTCAACAATTCAAATTTATAAGTGTAGGAATATCTACATATCCATTATTTCATATCATCCACATAGAGTTAAGTTATGAATCTTAAACATAAAATTATTATTGAATACAATAATATCGAAATATAAAGTTGGCATAATGCTTATAAACTTGTTAAAATATTTCATTATTGAATATGATATACATAGAGCTGAAGTTGTGGGTTTTTTTTTAAACTGTTAAAATATTAATTATTCTACATAAATGATATCTATAGAGTTGAAGTTATTATATATTGTATATAGGGCTGTCTCTTATACACATCTAGATGTGTATAAGAGACAAGTGTAGTTCTCATCAAATTTGAATCACACACTATTGATCTTATGATTTTATATTTTTGTAGTGTAAGTTTTTAATCATATAATGCATATACATGTTACTTTCTTGCATATTGATGTTAAAAATGTTATTTTTCAATCTATTGGGGCTTTTTTGTACAGCCTATCCAGGGGCGTACGGTGAAAAATCTAAGAGGGGGGGTCGAAACGAAAGCGCAGGGGGCAAGATGAACTTGGAGCAATTTAGCGAAGCTTTCAGAATTCGCGGGGTGCGTTATTTGTGAGTGAAGCAAGCATATTTAAAGAGCACTTTCTTTAAAAGGGGGGGTCGGCAGCACCCATCGACCCCCCCACGGTACGCCCCTGCTATCAACTTGTATTTCTTTGATTTTCATAAATTTTGATATTTGCAAGTTTGTTTATTCTTTCTTTAGTACCTGTATATTTTTTCTGGTTTTTCTGTATAAAAAAAACCTAACAAGCACACAACAGAGTGTATATTATAAATACACCTTTGGGCATTCATCCATTAAATGAATAAGATGCACTGAGTCAGATTGATTATTCTGGTATATATTTAATTTTTCTTATAAACTTGAATCTGCGTAAATAATCTGATTCAAAGTAGTGGGACAGGGATATATTTAAAACGAGGTTTGTAAGCATTTTATTATTTCATCATCATAAAAAGGAATATACTGTATATGATTTAGGTAGTTAAGTTTGGCTTTTTTTTTTGCATTCATCATGAATTTTAATCTGTATACAACCTAATAATTTTTCATGTACACTTTGACAATAAATTATCTGAATCTGATATGTATGTACAGTATAATTGTTATTACTATATATGATTAACAGTGTAAAAGGTTTCTTAACCCATTATAGAGGGCAGAAATTAATTACTGCCTTTAATGCATTGAAAGTCTCTTGTTATATGAATACAGCCTAAGTAAGGTGAAGTTTAACAAGGATACAACTGCCTTGTATATTCCTTTGTTCTAACTGCTTGTTCTTGATCCTTTGGTGTAAACAAGTTACAGTATTAGGTATTTAAATTTATTATGCTAAAGTATTGGTAAGTTGGTAACAACTGCCCAATTTAACCTAAAGTTATGACATAGCATGAGTAAGATTGATTTATGCAGTTTAATGTTATTTGAGTTATATGTATTGTACGGCATACATTGTCTTAGCCTGCATCCTGCTGTAAAACGGGCATGTCTGTTCTCTTTGATTGTTTCACGCTCATGTCAAAGGTCATCTTAAAACATAATCAAATATGGCTGCGCCCATTGGCATATAGCAGCTGTCTCTTATACACATCTTAGGGACTGTAAAAGATTTGAGGGCAGCAGACTGTTTAACACTCAAAGGACAGGAATCTGTGATCAAAGATCAGACAATTAT